CAACTTCGCAGGGCTATATTTTCCGTATTTTACAACATTTCGCAACCAAACTTTGCAGTTTTTCTAATTTTGATAACTTCTTTCCGAAAATATCCTTTGTTATTCCCAGATTAAAAATTTTTCTAAAGCGCAAGTGATCCATTATAGAAGACTCTTTATAATCATTTTCTTTCCATTCAATTTCCCTATATTTAAGCATGGTATTTTTAAAATGATCATACTGGTTCATTTTGAAGTCTTTTCAACTCCTCTTCCAATTGCTGGTTTTCCTGTGACAGTTGTTCTACTTCTAAATAACACGAACATTGCAATATAGGTAAGAAGTCGTGATGTATCGATATGATGATATGATATGGAACTACAGTAACTATCAATATTCCGATAACCGATGTCAAGGGCCAATACCGATATTCTAGTTCACTTCGATCTTTACAAATGACAATTAGGCTTAGAAAACCCATCATAGGAATACGTATAGCTAACACTATCAATTGATACTGGCCAATCTGATAACACTTCGTACATGCCATACCTGTAGATTTTATTTTAATTTGTGGAGGTAGCCAATCTTCAAATGGAATTACACGTACATGTACCCAGAGTCCGTCTTACACGAGGTCAACAAAGCATGACGAGGGTCGAGGGGTACGAGAATGAAGTTAGCCAGTATAACTCCAGGCTTACTGATATCTAGCTTTTTTCCACGATTTTTGGAGTTATACTTACTGTAGCTCCAAATGATTTTTGGAGTTAGCCAGCTCCAGGCTTAGCTACCTAGCTCCGAATGATTTTTGAAGTTATAACTCCACAATTCATATTTCCACAATTCATATTTCCACTTAGTTATAACCTGAGTATCAGGCCCTTATGTTTTCATTCGCCAGGATTAATTGGCGGCGGCGAATGAAGGAGGGCCTGGTACAATTCTTTACCGCGGCGCATGTAAAAAGCCAGATTCTGGCTTTTTCGTCTGATTGGCCGATTAGACAAACGATTTTTTAAATCTGTCATTTGATTGGCTGGTGCTAATTAGATTATACTATTGTTGTTGATATATTTTATAACGATCATAACTACAATTATAGCCGGCCCACTAAACGGCTGAATTTAAATTAAAACTGCAGTAAAATTAGAAAATAATCGCAAATTAGCGAAATATATTGCAAATGTAGCTTATATTAAATCGCCATCAGATTGCACTATCGACTAACTGACGTATAGTTATAAAGTATACTTAAAGTGCTACTGCAGCGAATTTTTCGACCCTCATTTTTTTAGCTTAGTTAAAAGTGCTTTCCTTCCTGACCTGTTTACCACAAACATAGCCTTCCAAAGTGGCCATTTTTGGCACTTCCTGTGCGAACTTTTGATCGGCCATGTTGATGCCATGTGACGTCATAAGATGAACACGATTTCATCATGGCGTATTAAAATTATAGTAAAACCAACAAACGCGGAGACGAAGGCCGTGTTTCTGGCAGTTCTACCTTAGATTATTGCACGCCTGAAGGAATACCCATACATCTATTTCCCAACAAAGAAACAGATCCACAGAGTGAAAGAAAGTTAGTGAATTTTATCCGTAAACATTGACCGCGGGTTTTCGCGCATCTGTGAACCTAGACCTAGTGTTTTGATTGAGCCCATTTAGAAGATTCGTGCTATATCTTATTTTCATTGATAAAAGCTCGTAAAATGGAAAGAATATACTGAAGGAAGAAACTGTTTATACAATTTACATGGCTAGAATTGTTCCCCTGGCTTTAGTACAACTAACAGACGCAAGGCGAATAATTCAGGTATATAGTGAAGTACAAATTAATATGTTCGCACACATGGTGAATATTTTGCGCAAATGATGCTATATAGTTAGTCTAAAGTGTTTAACATTTCTTATGTTTTAGATCATTTGTGGTTGTAAAAAGACTATCTCCTGTTAAGTTAGTTTCTTGTCCAGAGCATCTTGAGATTGAAATAAAGACAACAATTCAGCATGCCTTGACGGCTTGACCTAGTTTCGTCAAGACTTCTGATGACATTTTGAGAGAAACAATGACATTGGAGTTATATTCAGTCATATCAATAATACATATTGCATAGTATAAAGTAACAATAAATATAATAATACAATAGTATAATATTGTACTGGTACGCTATTTATGTGAGAAATATATTTGTGCACAAAACATGAGGGATTTACTTTGAAGATTAATATAATTTCAAAATATTACAGTAAATGTGATATTGCACTGTGGCACAATTTTGACTCAATGGTTAACTGAACTCAGTCACAATCTGCCAAATCCAACTAAAGTCGATCGCTTTTCTGCTCAAACGTAAGGCAGCTGTGTCGTTATTGTTGGAAATGATTTTCTTCTGTTTTCCCATCCAAATAAAACTAGCCATCAATAGAACCACAGCCCATAATTGCCAATTACACCTATCGCTATCTATTAAAAACAAAATCAAATCATTTTGAGTATTGCGAATTATTAGGCTATGAATATGCTTGTGTTTATAAACGTTATTATATTTTTTGTCACGCACAATCCAGTTTATAATAAATATTAAGTTGCACACACCAGATGTGTGACAAACAATTAGACACAATACCGAGGCGAGCACAATACAATATAAATATACATGCAATAAAAAGGATCTACTTACCACTAATTTTACAGGTATTGTACCATCGCTTGATTGCTCCAACATAGTCACAGATGGTAGTTGCCCATATCTGCAGCGGCGTTATATAATGTCTCTATCACTTCGTCTAGTGAAGCTGTATAAAAGCTATTTGGTTCATCATCGTACTTCAAAGCCGACTTAGCCGAGTCCATACTCGTTGACTTCCAGATGTAGTACTGACACTATTATCTGAGTCTGTAACCGTCATTCCGCCGTCAAATAAACAATAAAATATAGCACTTGTTCTTCGATTTTAAAAATCAGTTATCTGCGCCATAAACAAGTGAAATAGAGAAAAATTCCACTGCAATATGTTGACGCGCCATATAATTTACTACAAATACGACCTTCATATCTTCGTTTCCGTTCATCTTATGACGTCACACGGCATCAATATGGCGGCGGAAAAGTTCGCACGCGATAACCAACTTCAGAGGTTAAATTTGGCAACTTCTAAGCATCGCATGATGGTCAAATATATATGAAAATGCTTCTAAAAGACTGAATTTTTATTTAAGCTAAAAAAAACTAGGTCCAAAAATTCGCTGTTAATATATATATACTACTTTATAATTATACGTCAGTTTGTTGATAAATACGGTATAAGCGCCATGTAAAGCTCATTGTAGTCACTGAAACCTCTGCGGAGGAGAGAGCAATCGGGTGGCGATTTAATATAAGCTATATTTGCAATATATTTCGCTAATTTGTGATTATTTTTGTTAATTTTATAAGTTCATTGCAGTTTTAATTTAAATTCAGCCGTTTAGTGGGCTGCTATGCTATAATTAGATTGTTGTTGTCGTTGTGTGAAATTTAAATTTCTCCTGCGACATTTTGATTGGATACTAAATATAAACTTTGCTGTGGGTGGAAAGCGATCAGGTTAAGTTTTGTGTCAGGCTCTATTTGTAAAATAGAGCCTGACACTCAGGTTAACTTACTTAGTTTTGAATTACACAAGTTACTCAAGCGTACAGTATATTTTAGTTTGGAGTTAGCCCTTTAGACTTTTTAGGTAGCGTCGCTCCATTGCTTCCTACAGCCATGGTAAATGCATTGCTATATACAGTGTATTGAATTGATATTGTTACATTTGGATCACTGAGTTGTGTTGCAGTAAATTGAAATCCAAAATATTTTTTAATTTATTATAGTAATCGGTAATTTTGGTAACAAAAATGCAGGTATACCAATATGTTAGTATACAAACAACAAACAATATATCTTACTGTACCTGCAAACACAGAACCATTTTGACTTCCTACGAAAAATATGCAAAAAATCTATGTTGGTTTCCGTCAATTTGGTAAACCTTGTCGAAAAATTAAACTTTTCACATACTTAGTTCTTCAATTAGTGCGTCTGTATACTCTCCAAGATTCTCTAATTCCAATCCCTGCATAAAAGCGTCGTATGTTCTCTCAAGGTAATCAAAGAAAACCTAAACATTCATGAGAATATACCTGTACAACTTAATTGAATGCAGGTTGTACATTAAGGGGAAAGCTTGAATTGATACTTATTGTAATACATGTATATATATATATATATATATATATATATATATATATATATATATATATATATATATATATATATATATATATATATATATATATATATATATATATATATACCTTCGAATTACTATACATATATATATACCTTCGAATTACTAGATCGACGCTCTACCAACTGAGCTACACGGTCAGACGAATTTAAGACTGGAAATTATGAAATATATACTGAAAGTCATAAACATACTCGTTTATATTAATTCAGCATATATTAACATGCTGAATTAATTTTATATTAATTATTAATCCTTTCTAGCAATCAAAAAATTGTAATTATTAATTATTAATATTAATTATAATTATTATTATTATAATTATTATTATTATTATAATTATTAATTATTATTATAATTATTAATTATTATTATTTTTAATTTTTAATTATTATTATTATTTTATATTAATTATTTTTATATTAATGCTGAATTAATATAAACGAGTATGTTTATGACATTCAGTATATATTTCATAATTTCCAGTCTTAAATCCGTCTGACCGTGTAGCTCAGTTGGTAGAGCGTCGATCTAGTAATTCGAAGTCGCGGGTTCAAGACCCAGCCGCGGCAGACAACATCTTTCTGCTTACGCTGGGTATGGAAATTATATAATACACACTCTAGAACATTTTCATCTTAATATATATATATATATATATATATATATATATATATATATATATATATATATATATATATATATATATATATATATATATATATATATATGTTGTGTTATTGTTCACTCCGTAATATGATAAGTTGAAAATGTTCTCGACCCAGCCGCGTAGACAATATCTTTCTGCTTGCGCTGGGTATGGAAATTATGAAATATACACACTCGAGAACATTATATATAGCTGCCGTAGGTATAGGGTGCCGTAATTTCCCAGCATTTATGACGTCAGTATATACAGGACGTTACCAATTATCCATACTAACCTTGTTCATGGCAGTATCATTATCGTCATCAGTACCATCAAGCTCAGGAAATAAACACTGTTCCACATCATCATTTACTGCCATAGCAAACTAAAACACCGAGTCAATGGTGATTTAAGAGATTAAACTTGGCTGCTCTACACTATCGGAGTTTTTGTGATAAAACTCGGGTACAGTGCAAAATGTTTTTTTCTATCATCATGGTAGATTTTTTAACGTAATCAAACCTTGACGAGAGTGCAGTACTTTTAAACTACATACTCATGTTTTGTTCAAAGTCCTATAATCGGATTTTTTTAAACAAATTTACACAACTAAAATATTAAAGCCAAACAAATTTATTTTAAAGCCCAGCGAAAAAATCCTATGTTAGCCGGGTAAGTAGGTCAGAAAATAAAATTAATTAAACTTCTTTTTGCTTGACATTGGTCAGCAATGGCCACATATGAGTGTGATCTGTTGCAGGGGTTGAAATGACCGGACGCCAAATATTTCATCTGGCGACCAGATAAAGTATTTGCTAAACGTATAGTCCTATAGTAGCGACTGAGAAACACTTTAAATCAATCTGCTTTTGCATATATACAGTAATTTGCAGTATTAAACAACTGTTATTCTATTTTATCTATATATACAAACATAACAATTGATTTAGAGAGACCTGCAAGATATTAAATTTAGCGACCAGATCTTGTTCTCTGGTACCCACTTGGGCGACTAAATTTTTTAAAATTACCGTACATACTAGCCTCCTCCGCAGGCGACTGTGTAGTTCTGCAATGTTAATAACTATAAAAGATTTATCAGGAACGCAGAAAATGCAAGGAAATAGTTCTGAAATACGATATGATAATAATAAACAAGAAGCGTAAATTAAAAAAGCCTGGAGCGGAAAAATAGGATGGCTTGTGGATAATATAGCTCCAGGCCTTTTTAATTTACGCTTCTTGTTTATTAATATCATATCTATTTCCTTGTATTTTCTACGTTCCTGATAAATCTTTTATAGTTAATAACGTTGCAGAACTATACAGTTGCCTGCGGAGGAGGCGATATGTACATCACAACCCTGGATCAGTTGCAGACCTGGAAATAGTGGTGGATCCTAGGAACGACGTTCCTAGAAAATTTTTTGATTGCTATAGAAAGGATTTTCAATATTTTTTGGCAGAAAGTTTTGAAATTTCTTTAAAAAAAATTATCCATAAAAATCAACAAAAAGGTTAAAAATTTCCCAAACTTTCTTAGAACTGAAAACGTTGATATAAGTTATATCACCTGATGCACAAATCGGTCAAAAAACCCGTTTTTTTCACTTGAGCACACATAAAAATATTCCTTGAAATTTAAATTTCTTTCAGTATCACACAACTTGCAAAATTAGGTAGTACTGTAATAAATGCCTACAACTGTATAATACTGAAGCTATTACATGACATTGCCACAGTCTCGTACCCAGAGCCATTGCATTGCCACAACACATAAACATTTCGAAAAGAAATAAATTATAGCTGTGGGCAACGGACGTCATTGTAATAAATTATCACTAAGCGAGCAACGAACAAAAAGGGGCGGTAGGTAAGCAAACAACCAACCGACATCCAAAAACCGGTCCGGTCAGTTGGGAAACAGAAACTACAATATTTTTTATCAGACGCAAGTTTATTTCAACATGGTGAAGTCATCTCGTGTGGTGATGCGACAATTTTGATAGAAAATGTTTTCATTTTTAAGAAAATTTAATCACAAACCTTTACTAACTCCATGAGCCAGTGCAGCGCTCCAAGCAGTATGGGCCAGGTATGAGGTGAGCCAACATTGGACAAGGAAGTCTTGTGAATTGTAAATGGGTATCCAAGGCTTTTCAATATCTTTGGTACCTCTTCCTCTGGCCTCTTTTCTACAAGCTTCTTGTAAGTTGCATTTGGACTGATCCGACTGTAGAGAAACTGAGAAAGGTACAGTATATTAATGTTGATGTTAATAGTGCTATCTGCAGACATATGTTAATCAGTAGCAGATAATGTTAATAGTGCTATATGTTTCAGGAGTCAAATTCTTCATCAGAGCAGTTTGATATTTCTAGATAAGAGACGCACAGTATTTATACCGAGGCATAAATGCTAGGGGAGGTGGAAAACGTTTAGGGGAGGAGCAGCGGTCAGGAACTCACCATGCCTGAGATGCTAAGATTAATTTAAAGACAAACATGTACGAAAACACAAACATTCAAGCTAAATTTGAGTGAAATTTTGACAAAGCAGGGATCATGTACTGTATGTATATTCTTCAATGACCTTTAATTCTCCCCCCCCCCCCTCTCTTCAGCTTTGATTATCGTCCCTGGTCTTGAAGAAATTTGGGCGCGGCAGCGGAGTGCAACAATTCTCAGAATAACCTAGGTCCAGCTTTTGGCTGAAATTTTAACCTCGTACAGAACTATACTGTAGGTCAATTCAACGGGCAGATACAGTATGTGCTTTCAATTGGTGCTTTTAATGACAGGAAGGGGTGCAAATTCTTTTTTCAATGGAAAGGGGGTTTGTTGCAGGTTCAAGTCTCGTTGTTTCTAGCTTAGGAATAATCTGTTCCTTGAACCCACAAGATACGAGTCATTTGTAGCAATCACGTGACATTTGAGAGAATATCTGATCAGGATTTTGGAAATCTCACTGGATAGAACTAATTATTGAAAGGTTTGTAGAAGGATTCGAGTGTAAATCTTATCATACATTTATTAGGGTTTTGTCAGGGCAAGGCCTGGGTAGCTTCTCGCAGCCCGAATTTGGATTTAATTTAGGGTTGCAAGCAGGCTGGGGAGATACAGTATACCTTGTAAACCTGACTGATACCACTCTTTTCAGAGGAGTGGTGTACATGAGATTTTAAGGGTGCCACCACCTAGCGGGTGGGCCGGACCGATGGGTTTGTGTTTCCCCGCGAAAATTTTCATTGAAATTTGGACTCTTTGGTATGGAATTTCCAGTCATTTTGGAGACTACAGTTTAGGAGATTTTGTCGCATTTAACGTCAAAGCATATCGTGTGAGATTTATAGAGGCAGGAAACCTTTCCCTTCACATTACTGGGGTAAGAAGGGAATACTTTGGGCTATAATTTTGAGAAAGAACTGGAGATTACCAGATCATGCAACAGACAGTGAAAATTGCTGGATGCCGGCTTCTATTGGAAACACTGGAAGTGTGTACAGGTATTGCATGTACATACCCAGATACAGTATTACCCTCAATCAGCTTACAGGCGTATATTAAATGTTTCAAGATATACATGTACAGTACTTACTGAAAATACTTTAAGAAATTCTTTACTTGTTGGTATCTGCATCGTTTTCGTGGAGATTGGGTGTTGATAATCATTCTCTGAGAGAAACTGTGGTTCAAATAAAAGAAAATAGGAATTACTGTAGGTAAAAAATCTGGGGCCGGCTGGATTAGCGCTAACCCTGGATTAAAATGTAACCTGGTGTTTTGGTTTGTGTATTTCTGCACGTCTGTTTATTTCAAAACTTCAGGGAAGCCAACTCTAAGTCTCCTATCGACCCAGCCAAGATTTCTGAAGAAACATTATTTTCCAAATTTATAGACAAGCTGTTAACAAGTTTGCTTAGAAGTGTAGGTTAAGGTTCCTAGCGTTAGGCTAATCGGCTTTCGAACAACCGGTCCCAGATGAACAAGGAAAAATTGCACACTGACAGTGTGAAGATGTGAATCATGTACAATATAATAGGAAAAATGTGATACATGTTGTTAGTCTGTCATCAACTGGGGTCTGAAATTTAAATTTTTTCAGTACCCCACTGGGATACTAGGACTCTAGCATCCCAAAATTCTAGTATTCCATTTGAGATTTATATAGTACAGTATCCCACACTAGTACTTGGATTCTGGGTACCATAAATTTTGACATCCCTGAACATGTCTTTCATTGTTATACATTAAAAGTCAACAACTAGACCACCAATTTGGAAATCAAGACACTCAGGTTATTTTCAAGAAGATAGGCTCATACTGTACTGTACTAATTCAAGGCTATTGAGAGACCACGCACTAGAGATTTAGCATTATTCTAATTAATGTTTGAAATTTTGTAATATCCAGTCAGAATATAAGTCATTCACAGTTTGGTATCCACAACCAAATTTTAGTATCCTGTAGATATAATTAGAATAATGCAAAATTCAGACCCTGCATCAACTACATTATTTGGATCAATAAGGTTTGATGCATTCCCATAATGAACAAGAGCTCGGTGAGCCCCTGAATGGAAATCAGCCTCCCAACGGTTGTTGAGGCTAGCGTGGTTAAAGAAAGTTTGTATGTATGTATATTGTACATGTATGTGCATCAGGGTCTTATCTGACAGTGTCTACTGTACATGACAAACTAAACTTGTCAATAAATTAAATATAAAAGTTCTGTATTCAATAAGGCTTTTACCACTGCAGTATTTGATACCTGTAAAATATCCTTGATTTCTTTTAGCTGGTAAGCTTAAAAAGTACATACACATACATATATAAGTACTAACTTATAGTAATACATAGTAAATCTAAACTATAACTAAACTAACGTACATATTACTGTACCACAAATTTTATTACTGTACTACAAATTTCCATGCAATAGTATGCTGATTGCTGGTGAACTCATTAAGTTGTATCCCCCCCCCAAAAAAAAAAATACTCTGTCTTATTAATGCCAGATAATTTTGGGCACATTGGGGAACAATGCAACTTAATGGGTTAACTAGAAATATGAGCAGATTGATAATTTGACAGGTACATACAGTAGTGATACAACTACCTGAAAAATACAATAATTATGCAAAATTTCAGAATTTTGAGCGAAGGACCTTTGTCGGGAAATTAGTAATAACAGTCTAACCATGAACTGTGTGAGTCAGAAAAGCAGAAGTTTTTTTGCTGGTTATATATTCACTAAGTATAAAAGCTCATGTAATTTTCATGACCCTCGCTATTGACTTCCTCAAGAAGGGCTCGCCGAAGTTCTGCTTGTATTTTCCATGCAGTTTATCCCTATCAATCAGCAGCTTTCTTATTATCATCACTACCTACACTGACTGTTCAAGATAGCCTGAATAACCCATTGACCAGGTATTGATGAATAAATTGTCCGACATTTGTAGACAGAGTAGAATAATAAAGTACGGCACAGTGCCACTTAAAGGGTTAATATGATTCTGAAAGACCTGGTGTATTAGTTTGTCTTCGAAAATTGAATGAGAAATCAATCAAAGTAATTTGTTTGCTTTCCCAAACAATGAAAACTGAATGTGTGATTAGGTCATGTACAAATTTATGAAATTTATGATTTGCTGGCAGAGGTATCAGTGATGTAAGTTTACTTTTTTGAATTTGACCACTTGCCCTCAGGGCAAGTTAGACATGAAAATTAGTTGCCCTAAATAAAATTCACTTGTCATCAGACAATGGCCACTGGGGTACCTATATAGGTAGGGGGTATAAGCAAGATAAAACGTTTACTTGCCCATCATGATATTCACTTGCCCCAGGCAAGTGTTAAGTTACACCTCTGGGTATATACCGTACTGTATACATGCAATTTCTAAGGGCTCTCTAGTTCTAAATTTTATGTATTAGCTGCGTGCAACTCACATTTATCACTAAGTGGCCTTGGGTCCTTCAATTGGGTATGAGGATCACCACGACCATATTGACTTGATCGCCTAAATATAAATTAGTTCAGATTGGGTCATTCCAGAAAACATCCATATCACCCCCACAGAGGAAATGGGAAGTTAACCCCCTACCCCCTTCGGATGTCCTAATACATTTACTATTATCAGAAGCAATTTTTTCTCCCCTCCCCCTCTGGACGGCAGAAATTTCCCCCGTGGGGAGAGTATGGATCTTTTCTGGAACGACTCATTATTAGCATTCAAAACTAGATGGGAACCACTGTAAATCAAACTCACATAGCTAAATTAGGTAAATCATTTTTCATTCTACTCTTAATTTGCAACAGTCAGATGTTTCATTGAAGAGGTACAGTACCAAGTTCAATGATATTTGACTAGCATACAGTATGTAGACACAACATTTTTCAGGCAGTTCAGACACAGGTCAATCAACTCATGACAACAACAGTTGATTGTACAACAACAACAACAACAACAACAACAACAACAACAATTGATTGTACTGAGTACTACATATACAGTCATCATGTTTAATAACATTAAGTACATATATGATGACTTATTTCACATCAGAATTATTAGTCCCCTTGAGGGTAAGAGTTGACAAGAGTTTAGTGCTTTACAGCTCAAATCTCTGGCTGCGTTTCTGTACGACAATACGCCATATTCAAAGTTTGGAACAACACAACTATTATCAGGGGTTTTGTTGCAGGCTTGTAGCACACAAGTCAATTTCTATTATCTTCAATAAGTGAATAAATTTGTTAAATAAAAATTCAAACAAAATTTTGAGAAACATGATCGCGGTTGCAATTTTGACTAGTATATTTATACTGCCAACTCTCATATTGCACTCACGATCTTCGTTTGATCTCCGGTCTTTAGTCTGTTACTCGCACTGATTTTGACAGGGAAAGCACACTTAAATACTTTACTAAATAATACATAGAACCTAGACAAACCTAGATGAACCAAAAGACGTTTTAGGCCGTGCTCCAGACAATCTTGGGCCGGGGTTTGACAACCGACCTCCGACACCAAACGACGAACGTGGTCGAACCTTTTCGTCTCGCTTATCCTTTGCAGGAACTCTGCTTTTATTCCCTATATTCATTGTTCCCAATGTAGTTCGCCTCATTTTGATCCTCAAACAACTAAAAACGCGAAAAGATCAGTAATATTTGCTGGTATTCTTCGAGTAAAATATTTTATGCCATTTATTTTGTCCAATTTTACAATCTCCCGCCATTAGTTACCAGTCTTTGGCCGCCTCACTGATCTCAATATACTCGATAGACTTGGAGTGGACTGCTGTCTCCAAGATGGGGGCAATTGACCATTTGCGTAATAGACTAAATTTTGAACTAAACAAGTCTAGACAAAAATTTCATCACAGCTTGAAGGAGCATCACAGAATTAGTAATATTCCAAAGTTTCGTTGCAAAATGTTGTAAAATGCGGAAAATATAGCCTTGCGAAATTTGAAATTTTCAGTCATTTTAGATTACAAACGGGAAATTGACAGCCCCAAACCCTTCGAGGCTGTCAATTTCCGGTTTGTAATCTAAAATGACTGAAAATTGCAAATTTCGCAAGGCTATATTTCCCGCATTTTACAACATTTTGCAACGAAACTTTGGAATATTACTAATTTTGTGATGCTCTTTCAAGCTGTAATGAAATTTTTGTTGAGATCAAAATTTAGTCTATTACGCAAATGGTCAATTCAACCCATTGAACTATAAATAAACTGGAAGGCTAACTCAGGGGGGGAAATTGAAGCCAGTGCATTTTAGTTTTTCTGAGTTATGAGCAGAAATACTCAACACTGAACGTTGGGCTATATATCAAATTGAAGCTATTGAAAAACGCTATTTGATGTAGAAATTTCAAGACTTTAGCTAAAAGGGAAATATTGAAAAACTACAAACATAATTACCGATAATTTGCCGTTTTGCAGTTGTTTTTATATTTTTTTAATATTTTTCTTTTCGCTGAAGTCTTGAAATTTCCACACCGAATAGCAATTTTCGATAGCTTCAATTTGATATATTGCCCGACGTTTGGGGTCAAGTATTTCTGCTCATAACTCAGAAAAACTATTTTGGCTTCATCAAATCATAGGCCTTTATCATAGCAGTTAGCCTTCCAGTCTATTTATAGTTCAATGATTCAACCTCGTACCCAGGGCCTTTGCGCGGTTCAGAGGCTCTGGTACGGGAAGCAAAGGCCCTGGCAACCCATTGAACTATAAATAAACTGGAAGGCTAACTGCTATGATGAAGGCCTATGATTTGATGAAGCCAAAATAGTTTTTCTGAGTTATGAGCAGAAATACTTGACCCCAAACGTCGGGCTATATATCAAATTGAAGCTATTGA